ATCCTTCATAGGATCCAGTTCAAGATCCTGGTCCTCACCTACAAAGCCCTCCATGCCCTCACCCTACCCTACCTCTGCGACCTCCTAACCCCCTTCCAACCCACCCGCTCCATCCACTCAGCCGGCTCTGGCCTGCTTCATGTCCCCCGACCCTCCCGCCACACCATTGGTGGGAGAGCCTTCAGTCACTCTGCCCCCAACCTCTGGAATTCCATCCCCCAATCACTCCGCCTCGCCCCCTCCTTAGCCTCCTTCAAGTCCCGCCTCAAAACCCTCCTCTTCAATCATGCCATCCCTTCCCCTCCGCTCCCTTTTCCCTCCCTGACACCAGCTCGGGTCTGATACGCTGTACACTGTCCAGCACCTTGGGACGTCCTTCCAACATGGAAGGCGCCATACAAATGTAATCTTGTTGTATTTTATATTGATGACCCCTGGTTTTGGTCTCCCCCACAAGTGGAACCAGAGGTGGAACTATGTCTATCCTATCAAAACCTTTTATCATTTTAAAGATCTCTATCAGGTCACCCCTTACCCTCCTCTTTTCAAGAGAAAAGAGTCCAAGCATGTTCAGCCTTTCCTGATAGGTATAACCTCTCAGTTCTGGGATCATCCTTGTGAATCTCCTTTTCACACTCTCCAGTGGCCCTACATAATGTGGGGACCAGAACTGCATACAGTAAATCCTTTCACAATGTTATACATCTTGATCAAGTTACCTCTCAATCATCTCAACTCAAGACAGAAAAGCTACAACCTTACAACAGCAACAAATTACATTTGTATAGCTCTTTTCACGTCAGGAGGACGTCTCAAACTTTCTTGATAGCTGTATCCACTCATGCCTGGTGACATCCTTGAAAATTACATTGTACTCTCCTAATAGTATAGTATCTTTATAAGATTGTGTCCTTTGATTCTGCAGAAAATTGGAGGGGTCAGTGAGCATGGGGGAATGGAGTGACTCTTGATACAAAGAGAAGGTCATGGGTGTTAGCATCAGCAGAACCTTCCACTTTTCCCCAACAGTGTGTGGCTTGGGCTTCACTCAGAGATGTAGCACAGGTTTTCTGTATGATCCAAATCAAGGAAGTGAATAGAGGAGAATTATACGCAGAGTGTTCTAGGCTGTGCTTGGTAACTTGCAATGCCATTGGTTTAAATTGGGTTTTGGGAGTTTGGGCAAGTTGCTGGTAGTGGTGTCAGCTCTGAGGTGACTGAAGATGATCTGGAATGTAAAGCATGTCAACCAGCTGAATTAGCACTAGAGTAAACATTCCATTCATAGTTAATGGGTGCATGAAATGTCTGAAAAACACATGCAAGACTTCAAGAGTTACTGCTGGGTTTAATACTGGCTACATTTATATGTGGGAATGACTGGCCTTGGAAAAAGTAACAACTTTTTTGGAAAGTGGTGAATCTTTAGAAGCTAATCTGGAAAGTAAGCCACAGTCTTGGCAGAGGTAGGAGCACACAGGTCCTGTGAAACACTTTGCCAAGTTTCGACATGATAAGACGCTGTATTAAATAAATAGAATCTTTGAATTTGATATATGTATATAAGATCCTAAAGCCTTTCAAGTTTCTGTTGGGTGTAATGACTGTGTATTTGTAAGCAAACGTGGCAGGCAATATTGTGACACAATATTGTCCCACAAAGAGCCATAAAGTGAATGACCAATTTTATCTGGAGAATTGTTGGTTGGCACACCAGGGAAAACTCCTTTCTCTTTTCAAACAGTGCCTGAAAGATTTAACATTCACCAGAATAGGCAGATAGAACAACAACACAACTTATATAGCGCCTTCTACATAGGGTAGTGTCTCAGACTGCTTAACAGTGGTGGAGCCTGACAAGGTGGAGGGATTGAGGGAGAGTGTTCCAGAGTTTCGGGGCATAGTGGCTGAAAGCACAACCTCCAATACTGGAGCAGAGGGTGCAAGAGATGAGCAGGAGGCCGGTGCCAGTCGAGCGGAGGCACCAGGTAGTGGACTGGGGAGTGAGGAGGTCGGAGAGGTACGGAGGTGCCAGGGAATGAATGGAGGATTTTGAATTTGAGATTTTAAGTCAAGACCTTGTTTTAAGATGTTATCTGAAGGATTACACTTCCAGCAATGTCTCGGTTCCTCAACACTGCAGGGGAGCGTCAACCTACACCTAGACTATTAGCTACAAATCCTAATGTGAGACATAAATCCACAACCTTCTGACTCCGAGGCAGGAGTACTACCAACTGAGCCAGACGGACACCTGCAAATACAAGCAATATTTACAACAACATGCAATGAATGTGAGGAGAATGAAAGTGTTGAAGATTGCATACTTTGAATCAGCGCAAACTGTGCAACCGAACTTGCGTATATCCCGGCTTAGCAGTAATGAACAGTGCAGGCCAGCGTTCTCTATACTATTGAAGGGTGACAATTTAAGTGTGAAGTTGTGTAAAATGTACAGCAACAGATTTTTGGTTCCTATAATTGGCTCACATTTCACTGG